TTTCGAAAATTTCTTCAACGGAGGGAGCGTATGATTCATCGTGTGATGATAATATTTCAGACATTTCATACAAAGTAGACGGCACAGTTTTCGAACGTTTCAGCGTTGATTTAACCGGATTGGAAATCAGTATAGAATTGTCTAACGAGGCGCTTGGTTTTTTTCGTTTGGGTGTTGGTTTCATATATCCTTCGTCTATTCCCGAAAAGAACGATTCGATCTCGACCAATTCATCATCGGCGGTATTTTCAGCAATTCGTTTTAAAGGTCCGATGATGGGCTTAAAGTGTCTCTCCAGCGCAATATCTTCTTCCATTCTACCAGTTTTCAAGGCGTGATATTTTTTGCGAATGGAATTGCTCGTTTATTCAATCTGTTGCGCTATTCTCTCGCGATCCTCCATATCGGGAATGTTACACAATCGATGTATCAACAGCAACTACCCACGTTACAGTACCGCAAAATCATTAAATCCTTTTTTATATCGCCCACTGACAAGTGCGCTGTCCTTGTCTATCACTAGAAATCCATACTTTTGTTGCCAGCAATTGTGACACAATTTACAGAAATTCTCGTAAGACATGTCGGTGTTTACGTGATCGTTGTACACATGTTTCAGATTTGTACCATCCTGTTTGAAAAAGATAAAAAAATTCGCGTTGTCGCGTATAAGATGCTTCGGTATCTTTGCATAAGTCTGACAAAGATAGAAACTGTCAACGTCCGCGTGTCGGCCCATTGCAAAGTATTCTCTTATCGCATCTTGCTTGTCGCATGCCACGTCATCAAAAATAAAGATGAAATTCGGAAGTGCTTCGTTTGGAGGGACGATGTCGCTATTATTGGAGAATTTATAATAGCCGATTTCTTCTATCGAGGTCAATAACTTTTCCAAATATTGATATTTCGGTTGTTGCAATGATTTCGAGTACACGAACACGTTCTCGAAGCGTACACCGTGCGGACTCTCTAACAAGCTTATCAGCACGTTTGTCTTGCCGCAGTTTGACGGGCCACAGATGATACCGCGTATAGAAATCGATAGCATGCTTCCATGCTTACGCATCTTTTTATCGGACATTAACCTTATCTTATCATCAAAATTTATCACTTTGATCGTCTGCGACTGTCGCACGAACCGCATCTTTTCTGTCTCCACATAATACTCTGAAGAATTTATTGAGAGTGGACCTATTTATAGAAGCGCGTAGCGCGAATGTGCTCAATTGCCAAAATGTTTCTTTTCGTGTCGGATAACAGTGATATTCTCAGTTTAACCAAAAAAGAGTTAGAATATATACCGAAAGTCGTTTTGCTGCGATAATTTCCGAACTGTATAAGTCAATTGTGGGCTAGATTACCCGAACATATAAAAGCTAATTCGGAGGTTCAACAGTATCGTCGGTGTCTGAAACATTACAATCAACCGTGGCAGCAGACACATATTGACGGTCCTGCACCGTTTGTAAAGAATTGCAGCGAATGCCGTCGAGAGGCCGCGGTTTGATAAATCGCGCGATAAATGCGCTTCCTTTCGAATTGCATATCCCCGGATATCAGTTTTGCGGCCCGGGAACGCGTTTAGAACAGCGATTGGCTAGAGGTGATCGGGGCATTAATCCGCTGGACGCGGCGTGTCGCGAGCAGGACATTGCATATTCGCGGAGCAACGAACTCGCTGAACGGTACGTGACTGACAACATACTCGCCGCGAAAGCGCGTAAACGCATAACCGCGAGGGATTCGACTCTCGGAGAGAGA